CTACGTTAAAACTTAGGTCGACCTAAAACTAATGAATCTTTAGATAATAAATAGTTCAGAGAAGATTTTCGTAAACCTTAGTAAAATTATCAAACAAAAATGTAGAAGTACAAAATTTGTTGTACTTTGCCTGATATGGACGCTGTACAAGTCTAAGGGCTTGTCCCACCAAGTTGTAAATTGTCTGATCAATCCTGAGTATAAAACAAGTGATGGAAATATCGGATTTTATCCTCTTATCTGACAGTGAGTCATTTTTAAGCTATCTGAACCTCTATCAGCCAGTGATGGGACATGCACTAATTGGTTATGATAATCTTTGGCAAACGTTCGTGCTAGTCTTTTTGATGTCTGGGGGAAATCTTCTAGAGGTTTCCTGACCTCTGTGAACGGTCATGTCGGATTTGACCCACTAAAATCCAACCTCGAGTATAGAAAAGGATTCCGGGACCTCCAAGGGACTCTAGCACGAAGGTTCCTTTCAAACAGATAAATAAATATTCCATATTTTAAACATTAATCAAATAATATTGTATTGAACTTCGTGTATTTTATAAACGTTTTTATCTCGTATCTCGTAAGTTTTGTGACGAGGTTTTTTTGTTATAAAATCATTGAATTGTTTATGAAACGGTGGTTTCGGAAACTGTTTGTATTAGTTGATCTCTTGAGTTTACGTTCAGATCGCATTATGCGATAACATATAATTTGATATGTGTTGAAAATATTCAACTACAATAGACGTCACCAATGTCGTCAGATAGGCCAGGGAATGGATTCTGTCATGGTCTTATTTTAAGTTTTCTTATTTTTCTATTCTCTGCTGCCGTACCCTGGAGATGCCTATAGAAGGGACAACAGGAAACTTCAATCCTTGCTGCCATAAATTTATACACAACTACACTCCACTCCTACTCCTACAGAATTGTGTAGTAACACTCTACATAATATTGTTTCATCGCACACGCGGATAATGGTAGATACGGTTTTTCCGAGGCTATATTTGTTAATTGTTTTTAGTGTAAAATTTTAATAAAAATAAAAATGAAATGCTTTTTGTTTTAAAGTTTGTTTTATGTTTTAAATGCCTCCTCTATAATATAACTATTACTCTATTACATTTTTTTATAATATAAGGTGGCAAACGAGGAAGCGGCCATCTGAATCCACCAAAATGGAAATCCGCTGCCCATTAACATCCGCAATTGCAGATGCGTTGCCTACCCTTAATTGACGGAGGAGACGCAAATAAAGAGGACATTTCCCCTTCCTATGCGTCTCCTCCACAGTCAAATCCACTTCCCCTTCCCATCCTTTCCTCTTAAGAAAAGGGTGGAAAGAGAAAGGGACTAAATTACACATTGCGTCATGATTGAAATTTTCCGTAAACATAAAATTGTAAAGAAAACCTTAAAATTTATTTCTTAATTGAAAATCAAACAAACTTTAACAGAAGCCAATCACAGAAAAGTTGTACTTTTTAATACTTAAGTAAACAAACTTTTACCCTCTGAGTTATAACAAATAACTCGTTTCCCCTGTTTTCTTTTAAGTTTCTTTACTAAACTTTTATATAACAATTAATAAGAAATTTAAAGTTTATAACTACTTAGACTAAGTAAAAATTTACTATAGTTGATTTATTTTTTTATATTAAAGTAAGTTTGAAAGTAGCGCATATTATTTTATTAATAAACAAGCTGTCACCCGTGGCTCCGTGCGTGCGGAATTAAAATAACAAATTCAAGTAGCCTATGTGTTCTTCCAGACTATCCTTCTGTACCAAATTTCATCGAAATCCGTTCAGCAATTTAGGCTACAAACTAACATCCATCTAAACTTTCGCATTTATAACATTAGTATGATTTTATTGTCATTTTTATCTCCAAATTGAATTTAATAATTGTTCATCATCAAACTATATTATCTGAACGTAACACTTTCCGTTATTATGAAAATAAAATTTAAAAATAACAGAAAATCGATTGATATCGCAAAATCATTATAAAAGATTCGATCTCTATGATAAGCTGGGGTTAATTTTTTTCAAGCATTTCTACATAAATATTTATATATTCTAATATTAAACATTTGTAGTCATTTTTATAATAATATGCATGAAGATAAGATTTTATCACTGATTTGACGGTACGCTTGCAGCATACATAAACACCTGGACCCCATAACTTAGTTCAAATTTTAACATACTCACTGTTACTCGCGACTCCAACCACGTGGAATTAAAAAAAAAATTGAGTAGTCTTTAAGTTCTTTGATACTATCCTCTAAATCTGTACCAAATTTCATCGAAATATGTTCAGCCGTTTAGGCCACAAACTCTAACAAACATCCATCCAAACTTTGCATTTATAATTTTAAAATATGACTAGCAACTACATAGGACGGATAAATCTTATATTACAATGATAACATTAGTTTTGAGTGTGGTACAACGGTAGAGGTAGACCTAGAAAGACATGGATTGTGTGAAAGTTGACATGATCAAGAAGGGAGTGATGACTGAGATGACGTATAGACGTGTTCTTCCAGACTATCCTCTACGAGTACATCCATACCAAATTACATCGAAATCCGTTCAGCAGTTTAGGCTACAAACTCTAACAAACATCCATCTAAACTTTCGCATTTATAATATTAGTATGATTAAAGATTTTAATTAGTGAAAAAAAACCTTAAAAACAATGTAGTAAATGTAATTTAATGTAAGCAAATAAATAAATGCAAATTATTTTAAAACTATGCGCCACTGGTGTTGAAAATAATTGTTTATGTTTTGTATTGATCTTCAATAATTATAAATTCCTCGGAAAAATAAAAAAAACATTTTTATTTTTAATTTACGTGACATAACACATCCAGGGTTCAAATGTTACGTTTTTTTTTAATATTACAAGGTGGCGAAAGAGCAAGCGGCATAATCCGCCAAAATGGCGAAGCGACTGCCCATAGACATTCACAATAGCGGTTGCATTGCCTACCCTTGATCGACGCACATAAAGAGGATATTTCCCCTTCCTATGCGATGAGTGGGGTAACACGAATGGATAAGATACGAAATGAGTATATTAGAGGAAGTTTGAGAGTAGCCCCCGTAGTAGAGAAGGTAAGGAGTAAAAGGTTAGCATGGTATGGGCATGTTATGAGGAGGGATGAATCGCATGTTACAAGGAGAACGTTAGATATGAGTGTGGAAGGGTACATCGGTAGAGGTAGACCTAGAAAGAGATGGATGGATTGCGTAAAAGGTGACATGATCAAAAAGGGAGTGGTGACTGAGATGACGTATGATAGAGTTATGTGGAAGACGAAAACCTGTTGCGCTGACCCTACGGGAGTAGGATAAGGAGATGATGATGATGATGATGCGTGTCCTCCACCGTCAAATCCATGTTCCCTTCCCATCCTTCTCCAGAAAAAGAATAGAAAGGAAAAGGGACTAATGTTGAGCCTCCATGTATTAATTACTGAGATTTTGTAAATTGGAGAATCTGAAACCTGGATGGAAGTCTTATTCTGGATCGAGACGTTGTTATACCGGGAAAGGAAAATATACGATAGTTATTGCTCACTGTTTAATTTATTAAACGATGGGTTTAATAAATTATTTAGTAACGTTTTTAATTTTTAATTTAATTAGTGGTATTTACATAATCTTATAAGATAATTTAAAATGCCACTATGACTAAGTGAAGACGGGTTTATATACTCTTAGTTAAAATTTCTTTAACAAAAAATTATATAATAATTGAAGAAAGTATATAAAAAATATATATATATATATTTTTTATATAACATAAGGTGGCAATCGAGCAAGCGGCCACCTGAAATCGCCAAAGTGGCAAAGCGACCGCTGCCCATAGACATCCGCAATTGCGGATGCGTTGCCTACCCTTATCCGATGGAGGAGGAGACGCACATAAAGAGGGTATTTCCCCTTCCTATGCATCTCCTCCACTGTTAAATCTACTTTCTCTTCCCAACCTCTCTATACACGAAAAGGGTGGTAAAGAGAAAGGGACTTAAATTAGGCCTGATATATTATTCATAATCTTTATATCAAATGTTTAATTATCACAATAATGTAATATATCTTACTATTATAAATGCGAAAGTTTAGATGTTTGTGAGTTTGTAGCCTAAACTGCTGAATGGATCTGGATGAAATTAGCCATAGACGTAGTGATAGTCTGGAAGAACGCATTTTTTTTTATTTCCACGCTGATGAAAACTAGTAAAATATATTTTTGAATAGTCAAAACAAATAATAAATGCAGTACAAATTAATTTTCATTACAAATATATATATTTTTTTAAATCACCACTTACGTTATATCAAAATATATCATTAAGACATGAAAAAACTCAATTTTCTGATGTTATCATTAATTTAACAATAATTTAATACCAGTAGCAATCGTAAAAATATTTCTTCAATAAATCCAATTAATTGTCACTAAGTAACGAAAACGAATAAATTAATATAAATTTTAAATAAAAATAATTCTGCATACTTTAGGGTATTCAGTTTTTAATAAATAATATATAAAAATTAAACCTGCAAAGAAATATTTTAATTGACGCTGGCGTTTAAATATTAAGTTTATTTTATTATTTTTTTAAAGGGAAAAATTCATTCACAGTATTATTGGACATTAAAAATAAAACTTATAAAATAAAGAATATCTAATAATTGACAAATATTGGCTCTATTTTTATGATTATTATAAAACGCAATATATTTTGATGCTAAATAAATTTAATTCTGATTTTATTGCTTTATTGTTCGCATTGTATAAAAACGAAAAAATGATTAATCGATTGCATTTAACATTAAATAAATTAATTTATTAAACTAATAAAATATTTACATAAAATATATTTCTTTTTCTTACAAATCGATAAAAAAAAACCAGCACAATTTAAGATAATCTAATATGAAAGTGTTGAAAATAAAAATTATTTAAAAGAAATTGACTTACCAAATCATTTATATGACCACCATCGTCTTCGTCCCTTTGGAGACACATCCAGGTATCACAGATTGTATATAAATAAATATTTATTAATAAAACACTAATTAAGTTCTACAATATGGGGCCGCGATTGGTACCCTGCGGCACACCTCCTCGCCGCTCTTGTAATAACTGAAGCAATTCAGCTCTTATGTTTTGAACACAATCTGTAACAGAAAAGAAAAACAATAATAATCCTTAGTGTTAACTCTTATGTGGTCGTAGATTTGTAGTTTCTAACGAATGCGTTTTATAAAAAAGAACGTCAAAGCACATCAGATCAGAGTTGATACTTCTGCGATCAGCAAATAGAACAGACGATACGAATTTACAAAGTAAAGGCTTCAAATAAAAATACTTGGATTTCTAATTCTTTAAACTACAGACACTTTTTATTATTATTATTTTTATGATATAAGGGGTCAAACGAGTGACGAGAACACCGAGGTGGTCAACGACGCCCATTGTCATCCGCAACACCAGAGGAACAGATGCGTTGCCGGCCTTTGAGGAAATGATAGGCTCGCTTCTTAAAGGACCCTAAGTCGTATTCATTTAAACAAATAATATAAGCAAGAAGAATCATATACCTTTTTCCAATTTAGCTGGTCTAAAAAGGCCTGAACATGACTTATTCAGTTATTTTTTTTATCTGGCGCAAAATCAGATATGTCACCTTTAATTAATGCAGTAAACGTACAGACAGAGATTTCCTGATTCGTTCATCCGTCAAATGCAAGGAAAATAAGAAAATAACTTATTATATACTTATTTACTTTCACGCTATTAAACTTGGGAGTAAATAAATTGGAAAAAACCTCCATGTGGGAAAGGGACTATAAACTACAAGCTGCTAGCATCAAGGAAGCAAGATTGCCTTGATACGGTATTTGGTATCCAATGTCAAAGGCTTTCGTTGTCATTTAGGCATTTGAATTTTGACATTTGCAATTGAGAATTCGACAAATGTAAACAATAAAATAAAGTTTTTATAATTCCAGGCTGATGAAGCACGGGAATAGCTAGTTCATAAAATTCTTTAATTAACAACAATGTAATATTTATCAATTTTTAGTCTGTCCCACAACTAGCTGATAGAGACTCAGATAGCTTAATGACGTCACTGTCAGAGGTAACAAAATCCGATCTCCATGGCATTTTTTTTAGATTGTTGTCAATTTGTAACTTGGTGGGTAACCTTACTCTCGTAGTACAATTCGCAATCATATAGCGTTTTGAAGAATTTGTTTACGAATGGAAGTATACGTACAATATAAAGAACCCTTCGTTAACGTTCAATTCTCACGTATAACTTAGCCCACAATACGCTATAACAAAAACAATTAATTGTATTTTTAAATACTATCACGCGGTCCTAGCCTATGACTAATGTGTACCTAACAAACCTAACTAACAACTGTACAGAGTTTATCGTAATATGAACTCTAACACGTAAGCTATAGGTTGTATATTTGAATAACATTCGTCAGAACATTGGTCGTTTTAGATTTATCAAACAGTTTTAGCTGAACGCAACACTAAAAGGCAACAGCGCCGTGAAAGTAAATATTTTGTTTCTATACAGCCGTGAAGGTTGGTAAGGTGTTCGATTCTGAAATAATAAATAATTATAAATGCTATATTTTTAAATATCGACCATTGTACCGTCACAAGAATTTAAAACACACCGTCCCAATGGTTTGGGATGTTCTGTAATATCGTTTGTGGAATTCGACATTGTCATTTTAAAATAAAGATCCAATTAAAACCTAAGTTAAACGAATAGAAATACTATTTGGCAATAATTGTCATCTTACTAATATTATAAATGCGAAAGTTTAGATGGATGGATGTAAAGACTCGTATAGTAATAATTCTTTATTTACATATATTCGTCTTCGATCTAGTCTACTATCATAATGACATTTCTTTTCTTCCTTTTCACTGACATGCGCCGTCGATGTTTCTGCATGCCAGATACATCGCCACATCACCCCCCACGGTGTAAAATGACCCATACAAATCCATTAAAAAAAGAAATGTTTGATGTTTGATGTTTGTTAAAGTTTGTAGCCTAAGCTGAACAGATCTATATGAAATTTGGCACAAATGTAGAGGATAGTCTGGATGAACACATAGGCTACTCACTTTTGTTTTTTTTATTAAACGCGGACGGAGTCGTGTGCAGAAGTTAGTACTAGTATAAATGCGAAAGTTTAGATGGATGTTTGTTAGTATGTAGCCTGAACGGCTGTACGACTCTCAATGAAATTTGGCACAGATGTAGATGATAGTCTGGAAGAACACATAGGCTACTTACTTTTTTATTAAATTTCGCGCGAAAAGTCGCGGGCGAAAGTTAGTAAATCGTATATTCATCAAATACCTACTTCACTACTACTACTGAACGGAAAGAGACGCCAAAGTCAATTATAAAATCTTTCATAAATCTGTTAAACCTCCCTAAATCATGACAAAAAGGAGGGCGTTGTAGAGGCAAAACCGATGACTTACCCTTACCCTAAGTGGTAATGACACTCAAGATAACGTGGTTAAAAGGTAACTTTTCCGACAAACCCTTGTAATATTAACACACTAGCTTTCGCCCGCTACGCCGTCCTGCTGCGGCTGCGTAGAATTAAAAAAAACAAAACTGAGTAGCTTATGTGTTCTTCCAGACTATCCTCTACGTCTATGCCAAATTTCATAAAAATCCGTTCAGCCATTTAGGCTACAAACTCTAACAAACATCCATCCATCCATCTAAGCCTTCGCATTTATAATTTTAGTATGAAGTATGATTACCAAACCATAGAAAACTCTAGAAGTTTTTATGAAGCTTAATATTCTTAACAACTTTTAACGTACAAATCGGATTATATTTATTTAATTATTTATTTATTTATACTTATAAAGTACACCAACAAATAAGTTATAGAACAATTACATAAGAAATAACATATAAGACACAAGAATGATAACAAATCCAGTTATAGGTATACAACATTGTTAGAGAAAAAAAACTAGGGTTAGGTTACAGAAAATGTGGAACAAACAAGATTATATCGCCATATTTTAGTTAAGAAATAAGTTGATTGTCGTCCTAGACGGATTAACAAGATTGGAGAGAACAAGAAGGAATAAAAACAAAACAACGAACAAACAAACAACAAAATGTATGTAAAGATAGAGAGATCACTGAATGATCTGAAATCTCTGATGGGAGTTAATTCCACGAATTAAAATCAACCATCGAACTTTCAACCATTTAACTTCTGTTCAATTAGTTTGCAAAGGAATCTCATCTTAAATTATTTTTGTCACTAATGTTTGTGTCTTACGATTATCTAGTTGCAAAAACTTTGCCTACTTTAGTTAAAGCGTGAGTGTTATTGTACAAAGAAAGGTCTCGATTTGATCACGTACTTTATCGAACTCCAAGAATAAATTTGTTTACGTATAAGTAACGACAATCTATAGTCAAATAGTAGGTGGCTTATATTACGTGTTATGATTTGTGTGTGTTTGTTTTGCAAGCGGGTGCCCGCGTGACACGCCCGAATGTATCGGGTGCCAGCCAAAACATGGATTGTTTCCAAATCCAGTTGAGTCATCGCTCTGGTCGATCCTCGTGGGGTTGATTCAGAAGATAACCCTTTACAAGATATGGATGATATCTGGAATCGATTAAAAAGTACTTGAATCTCTAACAGAAAAAGGTAAACGATTACAAGCGTAGTGTTACCTGATAAAAATATGTACTAAAATTTATAACATTTAATTAATTTCCTATTGCATTTACAATAATAAAAAGAAAAACAATTGTTTGTATTGCACATTTATGTTTCACAGATAAAAAAATTAATTGTTATTTACATCAGCGCCATCTAGTAGTAAGTAACGAAACTACTAGAACTTGATTAGAATCACTGCCATCTATGGGTAAAAGAAGAAAACGCTTTTTTTCCGCCGCGTCACGCCTGTTGCATACGGCGAGGCAATTGTTTACACAATACAAAAGACCCCTGTTTGTTTTTCGCTAGACGTTTCCTGGTTTGTTTTGTGTGTACTCATTTCTATAGTGTTTGCGTGTGTGTCTGTGTGCGCAATGTTTTCACAGCCGACTGTGGAGGACGATATAAGTGTTGTTGTTTGTGTGGTACGGCCAATAAATTGTACTTGCATGTAAAGAGGTTATACCGAATACTATCTTCATGAATCTATAACGTATTGTGATTTTACTGTAAAGTCTTTCATTAATTTGTTGAAATAAATGTAAAAAGACAAGAAAGAGATGCTAATGTTACTTTATAACATACTAACGTTTTTAATACGAAAGTTTATATAGATCTTTGTTACTGTAAAAATGCCTAACGCTATTAAACTTAGAACATAGGGTTATTACCAAGTTTTCTTAATTCCCTGACGACGTAAAGGGAAAAATCTGTTAAATTTCTTAACTATTTTTACATAGATTACAATAATCACATACTAGAGAAAAACCTAACCTTAGTCTATAGTAAAAGAAACTTACATTTGGTAGGAATCGAAGTCAAAACCTCTAAACATCAATCTCTTTTACTAGGTCATATCTTTAAATAAAATATTTGTTATTATTAAGAATAAATCGCGAACTCTTTGAGATTCCACAAACATAAAGATAAGAGTATGTGTGTATTTACACAAATATAAGATATATCAAATTATTATCTTACTGAGAATTAAATGATTGCAAAATATTAACTCATTCAATAAAATTCAAATTTATATCAATATTTTTTTATATGACACTTGCTTTCGGCCGCGACTCCGTCCGCGTGGAATTAATAAAAACAAAAGTGAGTAGCCTGTGTTCTTCCAGACTATGTTTCACATATATACCAAATTTTATCGAGATCCGTTTAGCCGCTCAGGCTACAAACTCTAACAAACAACCATCCATCTAAACTTTCGTATTTATAACATTAGTTAGAATTGTGACAAAGATGAAAATATGTCTCAATAACCATTTAAATGTTTACACCAAAGCGTCATATAAATACACTTATAATATAAAAAACCCACAAAAGACAGGCGTGAAGTGGAAGCAATTCCATGTTTCGTCTGATGAGTGTGGTGCCGGAGGCCTAATTTTAGTCTCTTTCCCTTTCCACCCTTTTCTTAAGAG